TCCAACTACATTATCTAATCGTCATTCTGTTGTTGACAGTTTTAACGTTTAGAATGTATACGCAAAATTTTTGTCAGAGAAGCTGTCTTGTGCAGAACTACATACACTAAGACCAAAATTTAGCGTTGTTCGCCACCAAAGAATAAACCAAGGCTGGAACGCACCAGGCGGGCCGGTGCGATTAAGCATTTTTTTTCGTGCCGTAGCAAGATCGCAGGGATTCACAGTAGCTAACCTTGTGACATACTGACCCTCGAACTTCGGGAAGTTAATTGTGCAGCTATGTGGTATGTCAGTTGTAGATATCGACTTAAGTGACCCGACAAGTGGAAAGTTGCTGGTCCGCAAAAAAGACCGCACTAGAAGAGTTAAATTTGAAATCTTTTAGCCGCACATGAGTAGGGAACATTCCCTTAAAATTTAAGCCTTCAGCTTTCCCTTTCCCGAGTTAGTAGTTTTTCCACCAAAATTTTCACGTGTCCGTACGTGAGTACTGTTAAGGAGCTGAATTTGAAATCTTCTGGTCATAAATGAGTAGGAAACATTACCCTAATGTTTCAGCTTTCTAGCTTTTCTCGTTCCCGGGCTAGTGATTTTCGCGCCAAAATTTCCACGCGCTCGTACGTGAGTAGGGAACATTCCCGTAAAATTCCAGCTTTCTAGCTTTCTTCGTTCCCGGGTTAGTGGTTTTCGCGCCAGAATTTCCATGTGCCCGCATGTGGGCGCCGGGCGCTTCTGAGCACTTGATTTTGGCCGCATATGAATAGAAAAAATTCCCCTAAAGTATCGGCTTTCTAGCTTTTTTCGTTCCCGGGTTAGTCATTTTTGCGCCAAAATTTCCACATGCCCATACGTAGGCCCGGACTGTCCTGGGCAGCCGAATTTTAAACCTTTTTGTCTTACACGAGTAAAGGACATTCCCCTAAGGTTTCAGCTTTCTAGCTTTTCTCGTTCCCGAGTTATCAGTTTTCCCGCCAAAACTTCCACGTGCTCGTACACGGGGCCCAGACGTGCGTGAGAGTTGATACCGCGGTCCTGGGGTGGTACTTGGTTGAAGAACGCACTGGGAAAATTTCAGCTTCAAAGCTTGCGTGGTTGGCGAGTTGAAAAACCCGGACAGACGAACACACACACACACACAAACATACACACACACACA